GGCATAACTTTTTATTATTATTAACTATTATTATTATTATTATTATTATTATTATTATTATTATTATTATTACTATTATTACTATTATTATTATTATTATTATTAAAACAATGACGCAGAATATAAACATTATTTTGTGGTTTTCACGTATTCAATAAGTCACAACTAGGGATGGTAGCGATTAATCATTTGATTAAATTATATGATTATTTTTGTAAAATTTGCTATTTAATTGTAACGTAGTTTTGTGTTGCATAAATAGATTAATTATCGATTCATTGTAAATTAATCGTAAAAATATTTTCAAGAAATATGAATTCTATAGTTGTCTAAAATTGGAAACAGCCGAAAGAATTGTTCACGTTGAGCTCATACAATGGTGTGAAGCTACACAACTAAGTGGAGACGGATTGGCGGCATATCATCGACGCTTGGGAGGAAATGAAAACTGTTTACCCAAAACTTCGCTTTGCGTGACAGTTCCGCTTTGACAGATAAGATGAATTGTATGAAAATGCCACCGATAAACGCAACCGCTTGACAACAAAACGCTTATCAAAACTTTTGTTTTTGCAAACTTGGTTAAATAATAAATAATTACTGCTGCTAAAAATACTTGTTTTATTTTATTTAATGCTAATTAATAAGAGAATTTTAAATTTTTTATGGAAAAGTGTTTTGGTGAATACTCACTGTAAAAAAGTGCCTTCAAAAATTCGATTAATCAATTATTTCTCAATAATTGTAATAAATTTGTTTTTGCTTGTGTTTAATCATACGATTACTTAATCGATTACATTATTTGTTTTTGCCATATCTAGGCCCAATGACGAAACCGGCTTGTCTCTAAAACCAAAATTTACAATAAATGATGGAAATTCGTTCCACAATATTTACAGCACAGTTGTCAGCATTAGAACACTTCAAATCAAGTTTTTGTTGCATAGTTTTAGGCGCAGTAGTTATGACAATAGTCGTACGTTGAGTTGAGTTTTGTCATTGGCGTGGGAATAGAGCTGTTAACTTAAATGCTTTTTAGTATATAACGGACTAATGCAAATAGTTACTGTTTATAATTACATACATACACACATGCAGTTAACTCAGAGATGATATTCCACTCGTACTAGTACTCGTGCCGTTGTTTTTTAGTAACAAACAAATAATTAAAAGTAAAATAAATTTAAGATTTGCTGATTGAAAAGATGAAAATAAATTTATGAACAAAAGCAGTGCACCACTTTAAGCTTAAAAAAGTACTAAAACACTACTAAACACTCTAATGTGTAATATATTTGCATAAATATGTATGTGTATATCAGCGTACGTTTTTAGCAATTATCGTAACATAAAAAAAATGGATTTTTGTGTGAAAACAAATTAAATTTTTAAGCAAAGCTCTGCAGCTGGCTAAACAGCGAAGAAATTTGTGCATTCATAAGAGCATACCCACGTACCGAACATTTTGTATTGTATGTATGTATACTTAAGTTAACTATGCTTAAGACCTGACAACTAAAGTCTATGTATTACATAAATGTATTTTTACCAAAGCATTCGCACTCAATTCGCCCATTTCGCATATGAAAACGTATGTAGTACATCTATGCATACACACACACACACACATTCTTACAAATTCTAAAAAGAATTCTCGAACTCAAAACAAGTAACATTTTTAACTACTCGTTGTCTTTAAATCAATCGTGTGAGATATATCCATATTCGTGTATACATATACATACATATAATAAATAACAGCACAAATCAATTAGGATGCACGAAAAGTGTTGAAAAAAAAACCGTATTAACCAGAGAAAATTGCAAACAAATTTAACTTTATGGCTGTTCATACTATTGTATATTGCAAAAAAATTTCGTAAAAATGTAGAAAGTGAACCAAATACTTGCATGCATACCTGTATGTATGTACTTTGAACAAAAAAATAAAAAATAAATAAATAAATAAAAATAACAGTGAATATGAAAATATTAAAAAAATAGTAAAATTGTAAAAAAAATACAAAACTTCTTAATAAATAAGCCCAACTTTACAAAATTATATACCACATACAAACATATACAAATAACATAAATAAATAGGCATAGCAAGCAAGAACATAAGGAAGTAAAAAATATGCAAAAAATAAAAAAGCGAAGTCCCACATAGAAACACAAAAAATAAGTAAACTAGTTGCAAAACAGGCATTTTTCAATTTTTACTAAACAACAAGCATAAAATAGAAAAAAATACAAACAAAACAACAAATTTGCCCAACACTCATAAAAAGCAAAAGTAAAAAATAAAAGCAGCAAAACAACAGCCGGAAAGAAATCTTTACGCTACGACTAGAGCGATTTTTTTCTTTTGCAATAAAATATTTAAGGCCCTTAACTGGCACATAGCAAAGAAAGATGGTCAAAAGCATTTTCAGCATCTTTAATACTTTAACACAAAAAATAAAAAATTTTACGTGAGAAAAAAAAAAACAAAAGTTAATACAAATAACTACATAGATAAGCAAACTTACAAATTAAATTCGACAAGATTTTGTGAAATTTAGTGTCTTTACACTTTGAAGTCCTCGTAAGAATTAGCAAACCTACAAAGTAAATATATAAAAAAAAATAAAAATTAATGCAAGCAAACAAGCACTCGAATTACATAGATATGTATGTGTGTATAGTAAATGTATTTCATACATACATGTAACTACAAAAAATCTTTAATCTTACTGCATAGAGCGCAAAAAATTTTCAAAGTTTTGAAATTTCAAAAACATTGCTAAAAAAAAAAATTAAATGAAAATTAATTGCATAATACATAAATACTTAGTGATTACAAAGTAAAAAAAAAAACGAAATATCTAGAAACTTAAACAAAAATCTACTGAAATATTTCCATGTGTCATATATGTATGTATACATGTACTTATGCATGAAAAAACAAAAAACAAGAAAAAAACAATATATTTAATTGCAGAAAAACGCAACTCAAAAGCTGTTATTTGCGTTAAATACAAACTCATGATTGAGTCAGATAATTGCAAATATAAAAAAGAGGAATGTAGAAGGGAAGAAAAAAAAACAAAACAAAAAAATATTTAATGCAAGCAAAATAAATAAAAACAAGCAACAAAAAATATGATAAACAAAATATTTGTGTGTTTTTATTCATCAATGCCATGATGTAGGGAGACAGAGGTGGCGCAATCAGCAGTACCGCTACTTTATCTTGACGTCATCACCCGCAGGAATGCGCCATCTTGTATTCTATCATTATTGCACAATGCTATGCATCCTTTCTCATTCGCTACACAGAAATTTTTCCGAGAACCTGGAATGTTTCGACTCTGTTTCACCAAAAATTTGAAATGGTTTAAGGATATTTGAGAATGTGGTTTGAGGGTCCCTAAAACCGAAACCGAAGTCCATTTCACACCGCATTCGATTTGTTAGATAACCTCACTAAATCTTCGCCGACCCAAATGGGGGCACACTTGGTAGCCACTACTCAACCGATGAAATGACCCGATCAAACCCCGAGAGCTTCGAGCTAAGATCCTACAACCTTCCACCACCCCCAAATTATCCTTCAAGCAACTGTGGCAGTAAAGATCCCATGTATATTTTAGCTGACATGAGATGGGTCATCTGTCCAGATGCGAACTACAGGTGGTCAGTGGCGCTCCTACTCGCTCTCAGACCGTTGTTATCATTCCATGGGTATCTTAGAGAGGCACATGAGGCTCCTGACGACGTAGCAAGGGAGAGTCTCATTTAAGGGCGTTTTTCTTCGCATTCTTCATAAGTCCGGTTATCGGTGACGCATTGCGTTATCCTGCAGTTTAGTCAAACTCAAGCGGTGTTGGAAGAACTCACAACTTATTGGACCATACCTGATATTGTGCGATTATTTAGTGGCGTTTCTTAATTGACATTGGTCGGTTGGCACACACACCGCAGGAACACCAAAATAGGAGCAACATTGTTCACATCATTGCAGGTTTTTCTGACATAAGCCTCCACAACTTACTAAATTTTATCATCTACGAGGTTTAAGGTACCAAAAAATCCCTAAAATACTACCTACTTGTGCGTTTAAGTTTTTCACATCAGAGTAGAAGCTTACCTGCGTAATTGACGTCACACCACTAAGCTATGTGTCTATTGCTTATTTGATGGCAAACACTGCTACCTGAAAACGCTACAGCCTAAGCTTGAGGTTGGTGGATTCCTTATGACAGAAGACCCTTCCACCAACCCTTTCATAACTGAATTCAACTTCAAGCCGCTTGTAATTAACCTTTAACTATCGAATGAAACCTTTATTAGTTAAAAGTTAGGCACTTGCGACTTTCTTTGGGCTACGGTGTTAGATACATACATACATATGTGAAAAGGCCCTACACGATGGCATTAAATACATTCCGCATTTAGTTTTGATCCTAAAAACATAATTTATCGTATATCAGAGCGCTCTTCCTGACCTAAATATTACTACATATCCTTAAACCAATCAGGGCTTTAACGAATACATATAGCTTCAATACAGTCAAAATGGGCATACACTTTGTAGGTCGTTTAATTGTCGTTGTAAATCCGAAGCGCATTTCTCGGAGTGTTGTATAATTTTTATGTAAATATATATCCATGATCTTTACAGCTTCTAATTATATCCAACTTAGTGCAGATTCGTGCTGTGAGAAATCAAATACATGCGTGTTTGCTTGGAAACGATTGATTCCTGAAGTCCTGCCTCAGACTTTTGGCTTGAGCAGTTTTCTGTTTCCTCTTCTATGTGCCGAAATAAAGAGAAACTTGTCCCCGGTATGCCCCTGCGGACTTTTTAAGTCCATTTCTGCATTGAGGGGCAACCATTATAAGAAAAAAAAAACACTTTTTGGATGTGGGTTGGGCCGGTTACGCTCCGGTAACCACTTAGAAAAGGCAGCTTATTATTAAGAGCTGAGTACTGAACTTTTAATAAAACTACAATGTGGTGTTAAAAGACAACAGTTACATTTATTACAAAGTTATCAATAATTAACATTTTAGCAATTAGGTTTTATTAACAGTTTTTCTGTGGCAGTGTATTAATTAGTATGTATATTTGAAAAATAACCTATGTACAGCGGGTGCCATAAATAAGTAAACAAAGTCAGCACGTTAGCGTTTCTGGTAATAACTGTAAACGTAGTAGTCCATTTTCCAAAATTTTATTTTCACAAANGCACAAAACCTACTCTTAAGTCCGGCGATAAAGGCTTGATGGTTTGGGGATGCATTTCTGCTTATGGAGTAGGCAAAATAGTGGTACTCGAAGGCAAAACTAATTCCCAAGTTTACCTTAACTTGCTGAAAGACGTGATTATTCCTGAAGGTAAGCGTCTAATAGGAGAGGATTTCGTTCTACAACAGGACAACGCACCTATTCACAAGGCCAAAATTGTTACAAAATATATAGCTGATGCTAATGTTAATGCTTTGGAGTGGCCTCCGCAAAGCCCTGACCTGTCACCAATTGAAAACGCGTGGGCGTGGCTGAAAGCTCAAGTAAGTGAAAGGGGTCCTCGAAATCTGGCTGAACTGAAGGATTTAATTTTGGAGATCTGGCCGTCTTTTACCCCAGAAATGTGTAGAAAATATGTACTTTCCATGCCGACTCGTTTAGCAAGAATGTCGCGAAATAATGGCGGTCACTGCGGCCATTAACTTAAGTGTTTACTTATTTTTCACACACTGAATTCTTGTATTTTTTATTCAAACCGCCATCAGTTAGTGGAAGAAACTTTTTAATTTTAACTTATGCAGCTCTTATTGTAGCTAAAATCCCGTATTTTCAAATATATAAGTGACTTTTATGTTTATCTAAATAAAACTTGAAAAATATGGACTTGAGTTCAAAATATTAGTCTGTTTACTTATTTATGGCAGCCGCTGTATTTCGAAATTGGCCTTGAGATGATCAAAAAGCCTTTTCCAACGTTTTACTGCTCGACATACAAATATTCATCTTAAGTAAGTAAGTTTTAATGTTACGTTCTGTTAGGACTTTAAAAATACATTCGAGTTAAGCTATGGCTTATCTTTACGACTAAGTTATGTATTACTGATATGGAAAATAATGATTTTTCTTTAATCTAACATTTTCCATTTGTTGGCGCCTTGGGACGACAGATTTTACTGCGACCATTCGCACCGTACACTATGTTGCAGGAAAATGTAAAATACCCACAGGTCGATGACTTTGTATAGTAAGTCGATTGGAAATTTTTATTTTCCTGTGGTGGATTCTTTGTATTATCCATGCTACCCGTAATCGACTTGGTCACGGTGACATAGCTATCCGGCGTGCGTTGCTTATTTGTGCTCTGCTCCTCGACGCTGTCGAGGTCATTGTCAGTGGGTTGTGATTTTACAGCCTTAGGGTGGAATTTTTTCTCAACATTAACGGTACCACGGAAACCGCGAGGCACCATTTCAGTGGTCGATCGGAAGGGATATTTCTGAACACGTCCATTTTGATTTTGTACCAATAGATATTTATCCGATGAACTTGGCACAGCGGCTTGCTGGCTCTGTGAGGGTGAATTTTGTGAGTAAGTTCGGTAAGGTGTTTGAGAATCGGATCCGGATTTGCTATCAGATTTGGTGTCCAGCTTTCCGTTTGAGTTTTCATTGTAGTACTCATCCTCATCGTCGTATTCATCGTATGGCTCCTCCTCCTCGTCTTCGTTGATTGTAGAATCGTCATCGGTAACTTTGTTGGCGTTGACGACTGGAAAAAGTGCAATTAGTAGTTTCGACAGTTGACGAAGTATGTATTGAATGTGTTTTAATGTTTCATTTCCGCAAACTTACTTTCTTTGACACTCTTCGAAGATTTTAAGTCTAGATCAGGTAAAGCACCGCCATCAGCTGATAAAGCTGATACGCCAGGCCCGCTATACACGGCGTCTACGCGATCAGTCACCCTAAAATTAGTTGGAGTATTTAGTCGTTAGAAAAGCGTTGAGTTAGTGCCATTTACTTACCCATCAGAGTTTCCAAATTGGCTTATACTGTGGAATAATTCACGATTCTGTTCGCGATAACTTGCCACTTGCTCTTTAGTGCCCGAAGCAGACTGCGCGGCACCATGATAGGAAACGCCAAACCTGAAAAGAGCGATTTTCAATTAAAATGAAATTTTTTCCAATAGTGGAAAGTGGTGGATTTACTTCGATGTGCCCTGAATTTGCGACTGACTTTGGCCTGAATGGCTGCCAGATTGCGCAGACGCTTGGCCTCCACCGCTAGTCGGTGGTGCAGCGCTACCCTCTTGATTAGGCCGAAAACCGATTTGAGCTTGCGACGAAGTTTGTCCCGGTCCACTAGACTGTGAATCGGCCAAACCTCCTTTGTCATTTGCTTGCACCTAGAGAAATCGTAAAATGTATTGCGTCAATATAAAGTTAACTTCAACATTCATTGTATGGAAGTAGTAGGCTACCTACCTCGCTCTGGCTCTGATGTATTATGCCGCCACTCTGTGAAGAAGCTTTAGTACCGCCATTCTTCGAGTTGACTTGAACCTGAGATTGCGACTGTGCCGCGCCACCCTGTCCTTGCGATTGACTCATCGCTCCATCACTATTTCCACTCACTTGAGCATTCGCTGAACGGTCGCTATCAGAAGTTGAAGCGCTAGCACTGAATGTTCCAGTTGAACTGTATGTTCCGGATACTTGAGTTTTGGCAGTGCCACCATTCTTTTTGCCCTGTGCACTGGCCGCTGCTTGGCCATCGCTAATGGAAGATTCAGCTTGTGAGAATGCATCATCTGCTCCTCCCGCTCCAGCTGCCGTTATCAAGCTGCTTGGACCTTACGAAATAAATTTTTATATTTTAGTACTTATACCGAGTTATTTTAAATTTTAAATTTACCTTCCTCCTTATACTCACCCAATGCTCCCCCTCCAGAGGCAGCAGCACCGGGATAGCCTATCGCTCCGGGTTCTGCTGACACACCACCGGGCAGAACACCAGTACCACCAACACCACCTACACCAGTTCCTGCTGCTTCGATTGGTGCAAATGTTCCGGATCCTGGTGCTGCACCTTGTCCATACGCTTCACCAGCTGGTGCACCTGCACCTATGCCAACGCCTGGACCATAAGTCGATACTGCTTGTGGAAGTGATGGGTATGTTCCAGATGGCACTCCACCCACGCCAGCGCTATATATATCACCAGCACCTGGGCTGTAACCTGTGCCAGGTTGTACGCCGAGTTCTGGCTGTCCAGCAGCTTGGGCACCGAATCCGGGAGCGTAACCTGCGCCCGGCTGCAGTCTTGCGTCTGGTTGAAGACCGCCGCTTGGTTGATAACCGGCTCCTGGTTGAAGACCTGCGCCAGGTTGATAAACAGCTCCTGGTTGCTGACCTGCGCCAGACTGTACACCGGCTCCGGGTTGTAGACCTGCACCCGGTTGGTAGCCAGCTCCTGGTTGTGGACCTGCGCCAAGTTGATAGCCGCCTCCTGGTTGTATGCCCGCGCCTGGTTGTAGACCTGCACCTCGTTGAAGACCTGCGCCGGGTTGTAGACCTGCGCCAGGTTGATAACCGGCTCCTGGTTGTAGACCTGCACCTGGTTGATAACCGACTCCTGGATGTACGCCTGCGCCAGGTTGTAGACCAGCACCTGGTTGTACACCTGCACCTGGTTGATAACCAGCTCCTGGATACACGCCTGCGCCAGGTTGTAGACCAGCACCTGGTTGTAGACCTGCACCTGGTTGTAGACCAGCACCTGGTTGATAACCAGCTCCTGGATACACGCCTGCGCCTGGTTGTAGACCAGCACCTGGTTGAAGACCTGCGCCGGGTTGTAGACCCGCGCCAGGTTGGTAACCGGCTCCTGGTTGTAGACCTGCACCTGGTTGATAACCAGCTCCTGGATGTACGCCTGCGCCCGGTTGATAGCCAGGTCCAGGATATACGCCTGGGCCTGGTTGTAGACCTGCACCTGGTTGATAACTGGCTCCCGGATGTACGCCTGAGCCCGGTTGTAGACCAGCACCTGGTTGTAGACCTGCACCTGGTTGATAACCAGCTCCTGGATATACGCCTGCGCCCGGTTGTAGACCAGCACCTGGTTGTAGACCTGCACCTGGTTGATAACCAGCTCCTGGATATACGCCTGCGCCCGGTTGTAGACCAGCACCTGGTTGTAGACCTGCGCCAGGTTGATAACCGGCCCCGGGATGTACGCCTGCGCCCGGTTGAAGACCAGGACCTGGTTGCAGACCAGCGTCAGGTTGATAACCGGCTCCGGGATGTACGCCTGCGCCCGGTTGAAGACCAGCACCTGGTTGCAGACCAGCGCCAGGTTGATAACCGGCTCCGGGATGTACGCCTGCGCCCGGTTGAAGACCAGCACCTGGTTGCAGACCAGCGCCAGGTTGATAACCGGCTCTAGGATGTACGCCTGCGCCCTGTTGAAGACCAGCACCTGGTTGCAGACCCGCGCCAGGGTGATAGCCGGCTCCTGGTTGTACGCCTGCGCCTGGTTGTAGTCCTGCGCCAGGTTGATAACCGACTCCTGGATGAGCACCTGCGCCTGGTTGTAGACCTGCACCTGGTTGAAAGCCAGCACCGGGTTGGGCACCGAATCCTGGATGAACGCCTGCGCCCGCTTGTATACCAGCACCTGGATGACCATATCCATATCTACCCCCAGGTCCAGTGGGAGCACCAGCTTCACCTGGCCCATAAACACCACTGGGAGCATAAGCATGGCCGGGATATGCACCGACGCCTGGTCCAGCTTGCTGTCCAATTGTACCGGGTCCATACGCTTGAGTTCCAGGTTGACCACCCGCACGCTCAGAAGGTCTATAAATTCCACTAGTATCAACTGCTCCGGCCGCAACTGGTCTGTATACTCCGTCATATCCGGGTTGAACGCCAGCAGCTTCGTAACCTTGACCGGGCCTTAAGCGCGCACCTGGTTGGAAACCTCCACCAGGGCCGTATCCACCTGGCTGTACACCACCACCGCCTACCGCACCGGGTCCAGTAGGTTGGCGACTTGTATGTGGCCCATAAGTTATCTCAGGTTGAGCCCCAACTCCAGGTCGAAAACCGGAACTTGGTTGTGGAACTCCGGAGGCACCTGGTTGTCCACTTAGTTGCGGGCCGGCTTGTATAAGTGCCCCTGGTCTGAGATCAGCACCGGCTCCGCCCACTCCTCTACCATCTGTTCCCGTAGGATAACCTGCCGTTGGTCCATAAGCACCACCAGGCTGAAATCCAGCACCAGTTCTTATATCACCTCCTGCTGGAACATCTCCACCTGCCAGTCCTCCTGGTCCAATAGGCTGGCCACCAGCTTCTTGCCTATACACACCACCGGGTCTTAAACCACCGCTGGGTTGCGCAGCAACACCATCAGCACCAAGAGGCTGTCGGCCAACACCTGGCCCATAACCGCCACCAGCTGGGGCAGCACCAGCTTCTCCAGGCCGTAAAGCTCCACCTGTTCCTACTGCACCCGGTCCGCCAATTTGTCCAAGTCCATATCCACCACCTGGTTGACCGACTGTTCCGGGTTGTAATCCAGCGCTGGGTCGTAACGCTCCCACTCCTATACCACCTGGACCAGTTTGTTGGCCAGCAGCAGGTCCGTAAGCTGTGCCAGGTTGTAGTCCAGCGCCAGGTCTCAAAGCAGCACCGGGCTGAATACCACCTCCAATGCCTGCACCTCCGGGTCCAGAAATTTGCGAACCATAGCCGGGCACATAACCACCTCCTGGTTGCACGCCAGCGCTAGGCCTTAACGGTCCGCCTGGCTGAACACCGTCTCTTCCTGGTAAGCCACCGGGTCCGGTAGGTTGACCTCCAATACCTGGCGCATATCCTGCTCCAGGCTGGAGTCCTGCACTAGGTCTTAACGCACCATCAAGCCGACCACCACCTCTTCCACCAGGATATACACCACCAGGTCCCACAACTCCACCAGGTCTTAATGCTCCAGCAGCTCCAGGACCACCAGCTGCACTAGTTCCACTCGGGCCATATATACCGCCAGGTTGTTGACTACCAGCGCCAGTACCTGGTGCACTTATTAAAGCATCTGGCCTACCACTTATTAAAGTCAATGGATCGGGGGAGCCTGCGGGATATTCTAAATGCAGAAGATAGTTGCAAATAAGAAAATCGTTACGAATAGGAAATATCATACGAGTACTCACCGTAAATTGGGGGTGTTGCACACTCGGTACAATCTCCCATTGAAAATTGACTCTGTGCCTGTCCCATGCCGTGGCTTCCAGCTAAGATATAAAGTAACAAAATTGTGAATTTGAATTAAATTATTTGTATAGTTTCGTACAAACTGTGGTTCTGGAACCATGTTCATTAGCCTCTGCTTCCGCTTTGCCGTCCTGTTCTGGTTTACCAAAATTCAGATACTGAGATTGCGTTTGTCCACGCATACTTAAAGTAACACAAATTAAGTAAAGGCAATAAAAACCTGCACTAAGAAAACAAACTTACTAGCCTCTTCCGCTTCGTTTTGATCTATCCAAATCAAATTGTTCATTCGTAACATCATAGTTTGATTCTGCCTCATTTCCATCTGCTGAAGTCTGAAAATATAGAACATAATTATGTACACACATATAAGCGGCGAAAGTACCCAGCTAGCATATTTGCCAAACAATTTCTGATATCTGATATTTAGACAAGTCTTACAGGTTTCGTACAGATTTCTGAGCGAAGTGTCTGGAGAATTTTACTTATTTCTTTATCCGATATATCTGATCGAATTATGTTCGATTTCGGGCATAGACGTCGGATAATTCTTATTTTCCAAGATTATTTGGTCAGACATCTGTTAGAAATCCGTCAGCATCGTCGGTAATTAAGTTTCCCACGTCGTGTCGGTTAGACTTCCTGGTCAACCTCTCCACACGCTTCTCTGACCGATATCGGCCAAAATCATAAAGATTTCTGACTTTTTTGCCAACGAGTCTGACGGATGTCTAACAGATTTCTGGCAATTTTGCTAGCTGGGTAGATGAATATAAAACAATTATTTATAAGACTCAATCACAAAAAATGATGTTTATGCTTCTTTTCTTTTCGGTTATATTCAACTCGGGTAAAGCCAACAAACATAAACGGGCATTTTTCAACTCAAGTTAAGTATAAAACCCAATGCAACCCTGGCTAATACTAGGTTCACATATAAGTAGATTATCCTCATTTTCGAGCTTAACTTCCTAATCTGTAATTAGAAAAAGAGATTAGCCGTATAAAATTCCTCCCTTGTTAATCTGTAATTATAAAATAATCTCAGATTTAACCGATAACTTTTCGGTGTCCATCCTAGTTTTATCGATTGTGTTTGCGAAGAAGAGGAGAAATGGCAAATGTAAAAGTAAACAAAAATGGACGCTAGCAAGGAAAGGAGGGTTTTAAAAGTATTTTTTAATAAAATGTTAAGTTAAAAGATATTTATATTGCTTAATATAGCAGAAAAACTTGATCACGGTAGCACAGAGAAGAAACATAACTTTTCCTTGAGATATGAGAATAACAAGCACATCAAATTTGACGGCTAATAATCTGAGATTTGCCTGTGTAAACGGGGTGATTAAAAAACGAGCTTTGATTGAGATAATATTGATATGTGAACATAGTTTAACACTTCTCAAATCGTTTATGTACAAATTTCAACCCGTGTTAAAATTTCTACTGGGGTAGAAAAAATGTGTATATTCTACTCGATTAGACTTGTTAACTCGTTTAAAAAGGTGTTTATGCATGTGGGTTGAATTTACCCGAGTGGAATATAACCGAGTAGGAAAGAAGCATAAACATATATAGTATATAAACATAGCCCCACCTAGTTTGAAGACCTACTTGAAGATGATTTTAGCGTTATAAAAATTATCATTCCCGATAAACCCTAAAGACCGCCGAATTCGGGATATAAATAAAATGTTTTGTCGAGAAAATCGATTGTTCGTGAATTTTTTCTTGGATACAGAGTGACCACATTTTTGTTTCTAATATTTTGAACTCCTTATCACCATACCGACTGCTGAGTGGAAGATCGTCCTAGCCCAGTAGCCGCTTCGAAAACGCCCTATCTCAGAAAATGGCTCAAAAAATCCTACTTCAGAATTTTGTTGGAGAACGCCCTATCTCAGAATTGGCTTCAAAAAAACGTTCTATCTCAATTTAAAATGTATTAAAAATATGTTGAAACGCTTAGATAGGGCATTCTTGCAAATTTTTCTGAGATAAGATGTTTTCGAACCGGCTGCCAAGATAGGTGTATCTTCCACTCAGCCGTCGATATCCTCCTATATAAACAAGGTACAAAAAGGACTTAAGCACTAAACTAGTAGGAATTTTTATAAGCTTTAAAACAATAACACTGATCACTTATTTTGACTGGGCCAAATTCCTTGCAATTTTGTGTGCTGGATCACAGATTTTAATTTTTATTTTGTTCTCCAGACGCCACTATCCAATTTGTATGTAGAATCGCTCGCTGATTCCGAAAATCGAATAAATTTATTTTTGTATGGTTACGTGTTCGAGATATTTGCAATTTACCGTTATTCAGCTTAAAAAAGAGAGAGGTTCTACTTAATCAAGTATATCTTACGAACCAATTAAATAATCGTAATACGGGGTACAGTAAATGAAAGAAAATAAAATTTTCTACAAATCGTATATGTACATCACTTTTCGATAGCCCTTATAGTTCCTCAGAAATTAATTAATCATTCCAGATTTTTTGTTTTTTTGATGGAAAAATGCAAAAAGTTCAAACTTTAACAGGGAAAAGAGTCAAAAAATTACAGTTTCTGTGTAAATATTTTGCTACCAATGAAAAAAATCGATAGATAAATAAGAAAATAGTGATTGGTCAAATGAAAATGCGCAACGATTTTTTGTATGAAATATCAGCAGAAAGGAGTGTTACTAATACGCCACGTACACCTGAGTAGGTAGAGGTAGAGTGTTTGCATCGAAAACAAAAGGCGTCAGAAATGATTAATTAATTTCTCAGAAACTATCAGGGCTGTCGAAAAGTGATGTATATACGATTTGTAGAGAATTTTACGTATTACGATTATTTATTTGGTTCGCAAGATATACTTGATTAAGTGAAACCACTATTTTTTAAAGCTGAACAACGGTAAATTGCAAATATCTCGGAAACTTATCCATAGAAAACAAAATTATCTCGATTTTCGGAATTACCGAGGAATTCTACATGGGAATTGGATAGTGGCATCCATAGAACATTTTTTCTGTAAACCAGTGTAATTAGTATAATCAGAATAAAAAGAATGGTGTTCATGATAAAAATCAGCAAAAAAAGGTTTCGCGCCTTTTCGAGTTTGATATAAATTTAGTATGTAGAAATACCAATAAAATAAACGAAACGCGTTCAAGGGGAGAAAAAAATTTGCAAAAGTTATAAAACGACCAAAATATTAAGTATCCCGACGTAAGCCATTGTTCATCAGTTAGTGCTGTACATACGAGCTTGTATTGGTTACATTTACTCATAGTTTAAAGTGGACAAAAAAATTAATATTAACAAATATTTTTTAAGCAAAAATACAACCGACTTCAATTCTCATATAAAAGTTTAGGAGCACCGTTAATTTCTTCATGATCCAACGATCGGATCCACACTAGTATTAACTAGATGAGGTATCATCTTTCCGATGAAAGAATAATTATCGCGATCGATCCATGTTGTCTAAAGTTGTGCTGTAGTATACATAAATATATAGGAGACATTCTTTTTCATATCGGACACCAAATTTGGTGTCACACTTTCGATTGGCTTCAAATTTTTTTTATGGGTTCTATACATGAATTAAGATAGAACGTGTTCAAAGATTTTTTCCTTCGGGGATATGATCTGTCAAAGTTTTGGATTTTTTCGTGATTCTGACTAATCATGTACTACTTCAAATCTTTATATCTTGAGTTCTGCGCATCGAAGAGACTTCATCTTCACGACGTTTTAAAGCTAAAGTCAAACATTTTTTGTAATTTGTTTTCGAAAACTTATGTTGAGATATACATATTTTGCAAGATGTTAAACACCGGCTTTTTGCAAAAAGTAAAATTTTATCGCGGATTCCGATAGAATACCTATCCAGATATAATATTTGTACGGCAAGAATTTTCTTTATGGCGACAAACCCTAGTAATGGGCGTGGAAATTGCAGGACTAAAGTTAGCGAGCTGTCGGAGACATGACATAATTTTTTTTTACGAAATCCGTCCGACTTAAAAAAGAATGGCTCATAGATATACACCTCGTGAAACAGATAAATTTCTCCTCTTATGCTGCGTGTTTCCATTTTTTCCCCTGATAATAAAATCTATTCCCCAGAACGAAAAACTGAGCCGGAAGAAAAGGTTTGGGTTAATTAAGAAGTCGAATGATTTAGAATTATGCGATTACTGCATGCATACATGAGCAAATGAAGTTTAGGTACAGTGATTATTTTGCAATACCGGAAATTTTTTATTGATTATTTTATTTTTGGCATTTTTTTTTTGTATATGGTTAGTTCTGTAACATAAACCCCAAAAATCAGAGCTCCAAACAGAGTCGATACATCTACCATTTCCTAAATAATTTTAATGTCTTTAGTAAACCGGTTTTAAATAATCGGATTGACGAAGTATGAACTTATACAAACGAGTATTTACATACATTGAAGTAGAAACTCCCGTTTTGTTCACAAGTGAAGGCGTTTACCCTTATCTTTAAATTCGAAATCTTTAGATTAAATTGTGTGTGATTGCGACAAATACTTAACATACTTAACTGACCTTGGTTAAATTTGACTAGTTCATCAATCAACAATCATTGTAATGAAAAATTATGTAATACATAAGTGTTACACTTCAGATTCTCATGTTATTTCGAGAGTTTCATGCGTTTATGTACAACAACAAAATTATAAAAAATATTTCCACAACTTTCTTTTTGCCTAACTTTGCAAATTAGCTTATACTATATTTTATAAATATAAGTATCGAATCGAATACTTAGCTGCTCGCTATGTTTGAGTTCCGCTCGCTGAACGAAAAATTTTGTATGTGGAAGCAACAGCAAAGTTAGCTAGCTTAGCTGGACATTGGCATGAATTTCGTTCGTGTCTCCACTCGCTAAGTGTTGGCGAATCGATGGCGGCTTTAGTGGTTATGGTTTTTTATACCTACGTGCACTTGTGCGAAAAGATGATATAACTTTGCTATAACATACTAACGGAATGTTCAGATTGAAGTGTCGTCGAAGAAATAAAACTAATTAAACTGATAAACAGTGAGTATACGTTACATCAAATGCTGTATAACTAGGTGTAATATTATTTATATTTTCAAAGCAAAAGCTTAAATTCGAATTCAATTTTCACATTAGTCTGGGTCGCGATAAAAAGTTTATTACTACCCCGCCTATTTAGTTAGAAAGCTTACATACTTCGGGAGAATTTGGGGTTCAAAATTTTCGTCTTTGCAGCTAAAACTGAGTTATGTTCTTAATTTTTATATTTAAACTCGATTTTATGTTTGTTTTGTTTTATGTCAATAAATATATGTTTTTATGCTGCTACAGGGTGTCCGATACTATCCTCCCACCGCTCCTAAAATGGAGGAAAATGTTTTCTATTGGAAAATTTAAATTAAGTTAAAAAAAGTAACACAAAATCGGGTGGTTTCGGAGAGTTTCCTATTTACATACATATGAACAAATCTCATTTTGTTTTTTTAGTGTCACTCCCTTCTCTCGTCAGAAAAAAGCGCTAAAGCATTATTCTTGCGTTTACTATTTCAATCAATGGAGTTCCAGTAAAAACTAAATCGAGTGTTTGAACAATTTTAGCCTTAAAACGTTTATTTTGTACGAAAAAGTACCGAAATTACTAATTTTTTCCAGGGACCGACAGGTCCACGAAAAAGAAGAATACGAGATTATTTTGACCAGACTAGGTGTAAATGTTTTTGGGGTCGCTAAACACGAATCTGAAGTCCGTTTTGCTCCATTACTTCAGAATTTTGTCTAACCTTAAAACATGTGGCTGACTTTACGTGGCAGAAAAACTTTTTTAAATTTTTATGATATTTTTTTTTTGACCCTTTATAAGATTTGGCACCTTTGCCCACCATATTGGATGCACCATTTTAAATTTTGAAAATCACATCTGTCACATAAAATTCGCCATATTTTTGAGGTAAGAAAAAAATTCTGATGTGAGGGATCAAAAAGGACTGCAGAGTCGTATTCAGCGACCCTAGAAACATATTGAACACCTTTTGTGGTCAAAAAAACGTTTCAATTTTTTTTTGTAGTCCTGTGTTATTTACTATTTATTTCGTTTTTTAACCGACTTCCAAAAAAGGAGCAGGTTATCAGTTCGTCGGAATATTTTTTTTTTTATGTATGTAACCGCATAAATTTGGACCGCGCCAACCTATTTCGAAAATTTTGCATCGAAATGGTAGTGTCTCAGAGGTAGTCCCATACTAATTTGGTTTACATCCGATCATTGGATCATGAAATATATATATATATTTTTTTTTTTCGGTTTTTTTTGCTAAAAATTACTTGTTATTATTCTTTTTTTATATTACCGAGCTTGAAAACCGAGTTTCCCTTTTTTTACTTATGTTTCAAAGATCAAATAATCTTTTTTTTCAAATGTCGAGAATCAAAAGGTCTATTGATATGCCCATACATGTACACAAGTGCTTAAAGCTCTGGTCAGCATTAAATTTTCACGGACAAAAAAAAAAAGCGAGGTTCACAAAACTTTGCGTTTGAAATTTTAAATATTTTTGCAAAAATGAAACTTTAAAATAGTTTCAATTTCTCGCCTGAACATTTTCAGAAAAATAACAAATCGCTTTCCATCTTTGGTTAGCAATATCCGAAATTCAGTCTTTGATTTGTCAGTTTTTGAATTTTTAGAATCCGCAAACACTAAGAAACAATTATTTGTTGTGTTTTTAGGGTAGTTTAAGCCGAATGCAGAGCTCATTACGCGAGCCAGCTTAGTATATACTAACTGATCAAAGATACTGACATCCAGGAGCCACAAAAATAGCTGTGTATAATCAAGTATTTAAATTATATAGTTATAGTCACTCGCATTTGGACTCCATTTTTATTTGCGAATTATAGAAAAAAATGCAAGCATTTCATAATCCATTTTCCACCGGTAAATTTACTTTTTTTAATTTACTTCACATAGTGTTTGCCTTTAACCGTTTTTATTTTTTTTAAGGAAATTATGATTTATGATGGTTCTATTTTGATGTAAAGTTCTCGCATGTGTTTCTCAAAGGGTAATGCAAATATTTGGACAGTGGATAAAACTCTTGAGTTGTCGATATTTAGGAATATAACAAGACGTATACTACACATTGGTTACGAGCTAGGAGTCACCAAGTATTCTGAAGGATTGCGTTGTTAGCCAAACCTGGTAAAAATGTCGTTTCCCTTTTATTTTTCACATGACTGTAGATACATAAATGATTTTAAAGTCCTATTTTTCGTTCGGTGAACTCATTTAAAATGTTTAGGAAGATAGTAAACAGTTTTCGCCACATTTTATAATTCATTGTTAATTTACATACATATCACTTTGAACACTTCCTGTTTGTTTGAAATTCATGTAAGGATGTTGCGATTTGAGTTTGTATGAGTCACTTTCAATTAACACTTACTATAACTGCTCCATTTGTAGCTGCAATCAACAGCGCGATGCCGATGAAAGCCCAACGAAAGGGCAACATAATTATCCTTAGCACACGCACAAAATCGCCAATTTAATTATCTTCTATACCTATACACTCCACTATTGTTTCGGCAAGAAACGGGTTTTCGATCTGTAATTAGTTTTCATTATTTATAATTGGTTATCACATTATGTTACATATATGTAAATATGTATGTAGGTGTGCGTTATATAATATCTATGTATTTTTTTAACACAAATTAATATGCACAATTAATATTTGTATGCGCTCATTGCTCAAGGATACGTGCATGTATGTATTTCTTTTCAAGAAACAATCTCTTCATCTACAAAAGCACAGGCCTCTCTTTATCACTGACTTTTTATTTCGTATCTTTACACTTTTTATAAGTATGCATGTATGTATGTATATATAATATTTACATCCTTTGAGCGATATACATATATTTCAAAACATATTTTACTTGACTATATTTATTTTCCTTACGAGGAGTTATTCCGATTTTAGGGCTTCCGATCGCGACAACTGCTGGATTGCGAATAACAGCAATGCCGAACGATGGCCCCACAATTGGAGAGCTCCAATTGAAATCAACGAATAAGTTCATTCCGAAATTGTCGATGTCTATGTAAAGAATAAGAACAAGAATTTATAAAAAAAAAGAGTTCTATAGATTTACATTAATTTCAATACGATTGCAAAGACAGGCTACGAATACTTGTGCTTACTTGTAGTTTTATTTGTGCTGCGTGTATTTACATATGTATGTATTTATGTAGGACTACCGGCACATCTATGTATACGCACTCGCAAAGGCATAATCAATCTACATACATACATATGTACATACATACTTACATACATAGTATGAATGTTGTTGGCAGAAAAATTTTCAAACACCCTATCAACATTGCTGATCGCCTTAATCGATCATTTTACTTCAATTCAATGCTGCTTTAGTTCAGCAACGAAACGCAGCTCTTCCCCTCAGTAGATTTCCTCTCAAGCCGAAAGGGGCATTTGTTGCGCGATTGTCTCCAAGCTAAATTACTATAGCGACACTATTTTTTTTATTTCATTTTTCAATGTCTCTTCTTCGTTCAACTGAATCGTATTTGGAATGCTATTTACTGTGTAGCATATTGCGTCAAGTGGTCTGGGAGTGTGCTGAAGACTATCCGCACATGCACATATATGTGCATACATACATACATATGTGGATCAATAAAAAATTGTCGGAGACTTTTGACCCATTTCGAGGATATAAGCATATGGATTTGCTTTGACAATAAACAGTATGATCAACAACATCAAAAGAAAACCATTTACATAAACTTGTATGTATGTATGTATATACCAAATCGATATCCAGTAGACATCCATCAGATGAGGGCCGGGAATCAGTATCTTCATATCAACACCTGAGTGGAAGATCGACCTACATATCTCGGCAGCCAGTTCGCAAACGCCCTATCTCAGAAAAATTTTCAAGAATGCCCTACTTCAGAATTTTATTGAAGAACGCCCTATCTCAGAAATCGGTAAATAGTCGCACAGACCGAGAAGCAACATAAAAAGTTCACACCGTTAAAGGGTCTGGTATTGTGCAAACCAAGTACGATCATAAAACAGCTCACTGCTTCAGGGTAGTTTTCTAGTTATAGTCTTATAACTTATACAAATTCGTTGGAGCCCAAGCGGAGTTCATCCTAAAAGCGACTCCGGATCCGATATCAAACAATTTCTTACTGATCTGGTGATCGGGAGCAAGGGCAATCATTGCATTAAGCGGGCGAAGAGTCTTGCGTTTAATTCACTCTATTAAATTTGAGTTCCAACCCTACATCCGAGCAAAACTCTTCTACAATCCCACCTGTCTCGAGTAACTACGAGCCCAATTTAGTTAGCAGATTCATTTAAGCTTTTAATCGTGGGAATTTTTATATTACTATAATGACGAGGTTTGCGTATTCAACAGCATCTCAACCACGTTCTTGCCTTTAATTAGGAGATCGTCTACGGTGTGTAAACGAAGGGATTGACTAAGGAAAATGACTTGCTATAACGTTCACATAGCTAATTATAATGTAACTATACAACAGCAGAGAGATATATGCCTTTTTAACCGACTTAAAAAGCAGGAGCTTATAAATTCTTCGGAATATTTTTTTTTAGGTATGTTACCACATAACTTTGAGCCACGTTAACCGATTTCTATAATTCTTTTTTTATAGGAAAGGTGGTACCTCAGATATGCTCCCTTACTGATTTTTTTTTAGATCCGATCACTGGATCATGAAGAAATTAGCGGTACTCTTAAATTTTTATATGAGAGTTGAAGTCGGTTTTGTTTTTTGCTTTGAAATTATTAGTTGGACTATGCTGTCGAGGTGTCTCCGTAGGCAGTATAATCAAAAGCTCCTTCGATGACCAAGAAGTCACACACAATGACCTACTACATAAGACTAAACTAAAATAGATTCGTTAAGAATAAAAAATCGGAAGCACCAACAGCGAAAATGAGAATAAAAAATCATTAGTTAGGAAGGTTCTTACTGCAGTTTCTTTGGCTTTCTATTCCAGAACGTTTTTACTGACGGTTACAAAATTACCGGTAACGTACTGAATATACCTGTTTATCGACAAATACAGAGTCGGAAATTTGAGGAGCGCTTCTAAATAAACGCTATGAAGAAGGGCTTTTTCAATATGTCCTTTTCTTTAGAAGCTGTATTAGACAGCTGTATTAAACAGACTGCCATTCTTAGGCAAGTCAAATAAAAGAGAAAAAGAAATGCAGTAGACATATTAGTGCATGTCTGACGCCAAGTTAAATTTGAGTTGTGTCGTTATGATTTCATGTAAATTTTTCCTACCTTTTTCAGACGGCCTATAAAATCGAGCTAGAAAGGCCCTTCGCTTCGAAATATCCGAAATAAGACCACCCGGATGGCCTTTTATTTTCTAATTTTGCCGATATGTTTATATAAACTCAAGTTTATGGAAGTTATAAGTATATACATACATACAAACAGAAGTATGTATATATTTTGACCGCTGCATTGCCAGACACACAGAGAACTGTCGACTGTATCTCTTTCCACTTGACGAAATTTTGCTGTTACTCATCCACCATTTGGCGATCAGCGAACCAATGTCCCTATACATATTGATGTTTCACTAAAAGCTTTTGCGATTATTCCATCGATCGTTGCGATAGGGTCTAGAAATTACATACATACATACATATCTATAATACCTATGTATATAGAGATATGTTACAATTATACATATGTATGTATGTATGTGTCTATACATATTTATTTTTTCATTGTCCATCGTCATTCGCTGGCTGTGCGAAGATGTCTATTTAGGAGTTGAGAGTACATACAAATGCACTGCATACATATTTTATGTGCAATATTTTCAATTTGTAAGCACATGTTGGCAAGCGTTTTCTTACTTTGCATCCACGCTTTCCATTCAAGTAATTCCCATCAAGTCAATATGCGTGTAATTTCAATTAAATCCATTTATGTTCACATACATACATAAACATACTTACCCTGCAAGGAAATCCGTTGACACAAAACCATGACCAGCTCATACATAGTATGTATGTATGTATGTATATTAGACCGTACCTGAAAAAAGGTTCGCCATACACCTTTAATCTAAAGTCTTTTTGGAAGGCAATTTAGAAAAAATTGTTCTTTTATTAATGAATGAAAGAAAGAAGTAAAATAAGTTCCTAAAAACTAAATTAAATTAAAAATATTTTTATTCTTAAAACAAATAAATCTAGAAATTTAGAGAAAATTAAATTAAACTCAAAAAATTGCTAAAATAAGTTTCTAAAAACTAAATGAATTTAAAAACTGTATATATTTTTTATTTTTAAAACAATAAAATCTAACAGTAATTTTTAAGCAAAAAACAAAACAGACTTCAATTCTCATATAAATAATGTTAACCTTATGGGGAAACCAAAATATCGTCGGTGATGATGCAAAACGGTCTATGTACATAAACATATGTATCTGCAAATCATCACACCCTAATAAACGAATATAAAAATAAAAATAAATATAAAAAATAATAATAGTTGATAACGTCATTTTTTAATCGGTTATTTCATTCACATGGTGGCGAAAAAATTACGTCACTGCAAAAAAAAAATAACTTTTTTCTCGCATGCCGTCCTGGGTGATCTTTATTCGTTCGTTCACGGACCTAAATCGTTTTGCAGTATCACCGACGATATGTTCGTCTATAACTTTTTAAATGTTCGTCTAGCTGGCGAAATGGGGATTTCACATACACATGAAAGTTGGCAGGGGAGTTTTTTTTTTTGTAGGACTTTCGGTAATTTCAGTCGGTAATTAAGTCTAAGCGGTAGAAGTTATACATAGCTGCTTTCGAAGATCACCACATCTTTTCATCAGACTTTTTTCTAGACTTCAGTAGCCAGCAACGCTAACCACCTAAGCTAAGCACACCCCGTAAACTCTTGTTGCTAATCAATTTATCCTAAACAACAATATCGTGGTACAAAGCTCAAGAACACTATTGAAATAAATATTAATGCGTCACAATAAAATGGACAAGTAAAATTTTTTTGGTTGCTTGAAAGCTTGTACGATCTAATGTACCTACACACATTTGTATATCTAAGCGCCATTTGTAACAAGTACAGAGAGTCGAATTCTAAAGTATGCGCCTGGCATTAATCTTGCTTGTGGTGGAATTGAAAAATGCTTAAATTACATATTATTATGAATGGCGACATTGCTATGCTACATAATACTGAGCTAAGTTATGAGAAGTAATTGTTGTCATTCTATAGATATTGCTTTGCTGAGAAGCAAATGTACATTCATACATATATATTTATATGTTGCAAGTTCGCTATAAAGATATCTATTCACTGGAGCCTAGTTCTTAATTAAGACGTAAATGGGGTAGAACTAGCAAGAAAAATGTATTCCTTACAATTGTCTACAAGTGAACAATCTCGACTAAGGTGAGATAAGAACAGTAATAATAAGGCTTAAAAGCAACAAGGCACCTAGAACTGAACTGTCCAATTTGATGGCGAAGAGCTGGTCGGGCCTATATACCAGCTGTTAAGCAGAATTTGCTCTGATAAATACATTTCCCGAAGATTTTTTTACCAGTGTCCTTTGCTGGACCCTATAGGCTTGGCTTAAGGCCTGGCAAATTCACTATTGGCCGCGTAATTGCTTTTCGGATCTCATTCTGATTATCTTTTGGAGATTTTTGGCGATCAAAATAGCCGACAGAGAATGTTGTAACTCGGCTGCAGTTCGCCCTATAACTCGCTTAACTTTCTGGTAAAATTTTCGGGCGCTTTTTCTATCGACCAGCTTTGGAAGATCTTCGCACTCCCGTATTTCGGCCTCCGGAGGATGGTTCCGTATGCTGAAGTCTACGCATGTTAGGAAAGTTGTTAATCACCATTCACCAGGGATTTCGGCTCAAGCACCTCACAACTTCCGGTATTCACACCAAGTATGCTCTGGGTTTGGGATCTGCCACATTAAATCAAGCTCCAA